ATTCAAAGATACTCAGTCCATCCCTCGAATTGAAGACGTCCTCATTCTTTTGTCTGTCTGGATATACGGCATCATGACCGACAGCGAAATCTCACCAGATACAATACTATCGGAGCTTTCCACGACTCCATATGCATGCTCATCTGTTGAGCAATTAAGCGGCGGGACCGCCAACTTTGTCTTTCGTGGCACTCTGCTTCAGCCACTTCCAGATGGAACTACAACCGTCGTCGTCAAGCATACAGAGGACTATGTAGCGTCAAATCGCGAATTTAAATTATCTGCCGCACGCTGTGTAACTGTCCCTGCCTTACTACCCGATTATGCGAAGTGAGACGAACAACCCTGGCTGATACTCTAACAACTAGCTCATCGAAAAATCCATTTTGACATCACTGGATAAGCTCCCCAGCTCGAAAATTACGAACGATGAAGACACAACCAGTCAATTCACGGCAAAAACACCCCATATGTACTCATTCAATCCGCTCACCAACACCCAAGTTATGGAGGATCTTCCTGATTCCGTCGATCTAAAATCTTTTTTCGTCTCGCCCAGCTCGGCTCGATCTGTACCCCGTGAATGGGCGGTGTCTCTTGGTCGGGCATTGGGGCACTGGCTGAGTTCTTTTCATTCTTGGGCCAAGGAGCCGGCGCAGACTGATGTGGCCCTGGAGTTAGAGCAAAACCACTTCTTCCGGGATTTGAAGTTCAGCATAAACTATGATAGTTTGGTAAACATGGTCAGCAAGTACCCTGAAATCCTGGAGGGCAGCCGAGGCGTTTTCGAGAAGGTCAGGGATATGGCAAAGAGTGAGTCGGGTAGGAAAGATGGAGAGGGATTCGGAGTGATCCATGGGGATTTCTGGTCGGGGAAGTAAGTGCCACTATGTCTTTCTCGCTCTCTCTATTTATTTTATCCTACCAGGTTAAACAGGAAAAGTGGGTTTACTAATGATATCAGTATCATACTTCCGAAAAATTCACTGGACACAAAGCACTTTAACACTCCCCTATTCATCATCGACTGGGAACTCGCTCAGTGCGGTACTCGGGCTCTTGACCTGGGCCAAATGATGGCCGAGTTGTACGAGCTTAAGCACTACAAAGATGTCGATGCTGGAGTGTGGATCATTCAGGGCATCACAGAAGGGTATCCTGCTTTGAGTGACGAAATGGCGTTCCGGACGTTAATCCACGTAGGGACCCATTTGATCTTCTTCGGCAGTACGGTCCCTGGATGGGGAACAGACGAGCAGATTGCTGATGTTGTGAGGCTTGGGAAGGATCTGATCGTCAAAGCCTGGGAGAAAGATAAGACTTGGTTCAAAGGAATGGTGTGGGAGTGTTTGTTCAAGAAGTAGAGAAATTCTATCGTTTGCTATATCCTGCTGGTAGTACAAATAGGAACACTATGGAGATACAGTTCTTGACCTACGACTTAGCTGTAGGAGGTATATGTCAGTCAAATTATCTCACAGCATGGTCATTACTACATATTTGCCCGCTGGGTTAGTATCCGGTTCCCGATCCGTGAACAGTCGATTTCAATCCGAAATGGTGGCCACTACCAGGTCAAGGCCTAAATTGACCCATTATATCGAGCAGACTCGCAAATGGAGAGACATGCAGGTCGTTCAGCCGGGGACAGCAACGCCGAAACCCAGGGCCCGTTTGACGCGTCAAAAGGCGTGGAAAGATCTTAGATACCAAGCTAAACATGGAATGATATAACTCCCTTGCAATGCTTGGGATATATGCGAGCCCCGATGCTTCGATCAGAATTACCTTGAGCGACAGTCATGAGACTTTGTTGCTAGATGATCCAGTGCCCCAGTGTGGGACAGTTTGTCGGCAGTCGTGTTATTCATCTGTAAGTAAGAAGCTTAAATCAATGTCTGCTATGCACAACGTGATCGATGAAAGAATTGCCGGTTCTCTATTGAGGAAGCTGGCGGCAATCTCGGCTATATTGTTCCGACAGTAGCAGCTTGGATGTGTATATACTCTTCACGGACTAGTTGGAGAGGGAAGACATATAAGTTTGAAAATGCTAATTAGTGATAGGATGGAGAAGAACAAGAATAGCTGGTCCCCGAACTATAAGTTTGAGTCACATATGGAACACCTTAGAGATCGAAGGAGATGGAATATTCGAACAGGGTGATTTGACATTTTGATCGCTTCACAGGCGAAGTGTGCCTTCAATCGTCTACAGTTACGCTATTCATGTATATGCATTACCGGGCACTGTTCTCCAGTTTTTTTTCGTTTTGCTCAGACCACGCAAAGCCAAGAGTCGAATAGTTTCTTTTTGAACATGCTCTGTATGATTTAAAGTGTATGATATATGCTGTAGACCTGTACAAACAAGCGACTTCTCCAATAAAAGCGGGCCACTCATACAGCAGTGTCCATACCGTCTATAATTTCGCTCGGAAAACGCTCCGTATGGATTCGAGGCCTGATGGACCATTATAAATCTGTTGCTCAAGAAGACGGGTGTTGATCTATATAGTGTAAGCATCGGAGTATCTTTGATGGGGAACCTCGCTGTCATTGAGACAGTAACGAAGGAGTCTTACATGTTGGGGGCCCAGCTTATCCACAGAATCTACACCAAGTAATCGCATGCATGTCTTGGTCTCGTCCGCCAGTACTAAGCCTCAGTCAGTCGTTTGTTTCTCGATTATCAGGGTTCCGAAACATACTCTGCAGAGTTCGCTTAACGCCCTCGACACCGCCAGCCCCCAGGCCCCACAGGGCAGGTCGCCCGATTCCCACGGCCTTCGCGCCCAAGCATAGCGCTTTCACAACATCTGTACCGCGTCGGATGCCGCCGTCGACCCAAACGTCCAATCTATCGAATACTTCCGGGCAATATTTTCTGATTTCCATCAACGTATGCACTGCTGGGGGAGCAGTGTCGAGCGCACGACCACCATGATTCGAAAGAATAATGCCTTTGACTTGAGGTGTATGGAGAGAGGCAACATAGGCGTCCTCATGAGTTTGCAGGCCCTTTAGGACAATTGGCAAGTTAGTACGTTCAGCCAACCAAGGCAAAGTTTCTTTCCAGGTCAGTGAGGGATCTGTTCCAGCGAAGAGCTGCTTTCCAACACCGCCAGATGATTGATTGATCCGAGAAGTTTCATCTTCAGCACTATCGGCCACCTTCGCCGCGCTTGGAACTGGCGCTGATGCTCCGACAGCATTTCCCCGCTCGTCATCTTCTCGTTTGCCTGGCACTGGGGCATCCAGAGTCAGAACAATGAATTTGATTTGCTTGAGTTTGTTTATCCGTGCCAGCATCGCTTCGCTCTTCTTGCGATCAATTTGAACATAGATCTGCCATCCAAACACTTGGTCGGGGGCTGCATCTTTTACAATTTGCTCCGGGGTCATAGATGCGTTGTTTGAGATAACCTGCATGGCTCCAAAGCTGCGGCAAGCTTCGGCGATACCTGCCTCACCAGCAGGATGGCCCAATCGAGCCATCGCGGCAGGGGACACATAAATTGGCATTCCTAGCTTATGCCCCAGCAGCGTAGTATCCAGGTCACATTGTGTGCAATCAATGAAAACCCGTGGCCGCAAGAGAATTGAGCGGTAAACTTCGGTGTTGAAATGTTTGGAGATTTTGTCATCAGATGCAGAATAGTAGTAGGCCCACGCCTTCTTGCTCACGTTCTTAGTAGCCACCTGTTCGATGTCATCCATGTTGAGGAGAGACTCCATTGGGGGTGGACCCTCATTCTCCTCGCTTGACGAGGGTACTGGCTCTGCCTGCACTTTTGGAAGTGTATCTGGGTTGACAGTTCCAAGCATCGCTTCTGGCTTCAGGTTTTCTTCTAATATGCCCGGGGGGTGGATGGGGTCGTATTCTTCGGTGGCATCCTTTCCAGCGAGCTTCAGAATGATTTTGGAACCACCGGGGTGCTCGGAGAGGAAGTCGGTGACCTATGACAATATGTTATACTGGATTAGTTTGAGGTGTAACATGTGAAAAATGAAGCTTTAATTCTTGGATAGATTCGTACATCGTACACTTTCCCATATAAAACCACCCAGCAACTGTCTGGAGTATTATGTTTCGCGACTGAACGATTGGTTGCCAATTAGCACATCAGGCTGGCAATAATTCAGGCCGGAGTAGAGGAGAAACAATATACCTTCCGCCGCATCGAACACTTTGGCCATTTCGCGGAACCAAGCACGATTGTGTCTTCAAAATTAGTTCGTGAAATGGAGATGTGGTAAGGGCTGGATAAAGAGATGTACGAGAGGAAGAGTAGCGACAGGGGTAGGAAAAAGAAAGGATGCCCTTCAGTAACGGGACTCCTAAGTCATGTACCCGACCGACCTAGACTTCAGCAACAGACTACTCGTTGTCAACCCCATTCAACGACCGAGCGTGCATAAATAGGCTTCTCGGACTTGACTCCGACCAGGAGCTGTGTGGGGAAGCAAGACCCAGTAGTAAGAGGGGGGAGTGGACGACCACTATGGACTGCGGCCATTGAGATTGCTACATTTGGTAAACTTGATAGCCGACCTTGGGACGGGCCCGCTATTTCTTGCGGATTAGAGAACATCGCACGGTTATTGGTGGATAAATGGTTTCGGAGTTCCAACGAGTTATGACGTTCTATCTTGCGTTCTGGTGAAAACAACATATATTGTCACTCGCGAAAGAGTATATTTGGAAATACCGATATTCAGGTTCTATCTGTAGAGGCACAACGCAACATACCATTAGTAGTAGTAGTAGTAGTAGTCCTAGTAGTTGGGTCCTTCCCTTATCACTTCTGATCAGCTGCTCCCCGCACGTGCATCTACTCTAGGTATAGCTTTATCTGATGTCTCCTCCCCGCGCAAAATCCTTCTCTTTCGGAAGCCAACTTCCATCAGGTTCTTGGAGCAAAAGCTTCAACCTTAACTACTCGAGGCGGACTCAACGTGTCTCCCCAAAGGATCCTCCTAGCTAGTTACATGGCATCGCCATCTTAGATCGAGTCGTTAAGAACACTAAGCGTGCATAAATAGTGCGTCGCGATGTTCGAGGTGCGTCTGCTGACTTGAGTTACGGTGCTCTTTCTTTTACTTCCATGTTGCCCATCATATTCTGTGTTGCACCGTTTTTTTATACTTTATTTATTTATTTATTTTCAAATATGCTCCGGTCTGACTAGTATCAGCGTCGTGCTGCTGATCGATATCGCCTACGGATGCACCGGGCTCGCACGGTTGCGCTAACAACCGATGAGATCGTTGAAGTGCGGGCAGCTCAGCGAACATTTGAGGGAGCCTATGTCCGGACAGCATTATCACAATTTTCGTTTGCCCTCGTTGTGCTCAAGATTTTCACTAGCGAGTTCTACAGTACAGGGGCACTTTTCGCTATCTACGGCACCGGTGTGCTCATTATTGGTCTCTTCCGCCGCCAACAAGGGAATAGGCAATTTTTCTCGGAGGTGGGGGAGGATGGCATCCACCGACACAAATTTCGAACGAGCGGAAATGCGGTGGTCGTACTGACGGCTCTGAGTGTTGCCGCATACGCTACACTGATTGCTCTCACTCTCAGGCTGGATAAGTAGGCGGGGTATCAAAGGCTCAAAGGAGTGATAAAAGCCCAACAGGTTCATTATATTCCGTATCTTGGGCAATGTGATGACAACCTGCGTAACTGCCAAGCGCCAAGAATCCCGCGGAATGCAGTTGTCCTTCTACCCCTTTGTTTGATTAGTATCCGCTACTGTGTGAATTTTCAAGGTGAAGAGGAACAAGCCTTGCGGAAATCATCAGACCGCTCTGCTGATAGCGACGATGCCAAGTGCCAAGCTTATATGCGACAGAGGCTGCGTATATCACAGAGAGCAGCCCAGCGGATGCCTTCAACAATGTAACACAAGACACAAGACGTTCTATATGCTTAGGTTGCTATGATAATCCATGTTGACATGCAACGTTGGTCATGGTGGATTTGGCGGCTTCGACAGTCAGCTGCAAGGAGAGACACATTGACCGAAGGGGCTTCACGCAGGAAAGTGTTAAGAGGTGCTGGCAAAGACCACGGTTGCGGCCTACAGTACTAGTTAAACAAGGTGATAGAGGCTCCTCTATGTTTCTGGCCCACTACAGAGGTTCAGACACAGTGCGAATCAGTTGATCCAAAGTGGATCAGCACGATTAGTGGGCCGATCCTTCTCTTCATGTTGATGGTACTGTGTAGTAAAGTCCCTTTTATACCCTTACCTAGGCCAAGCATTTCGGTTTTTCCGTGTTTCCATGAACCATTGGAGCCAAGATAAATTGACTTTAATTTCATGTACGCGGTAGGTGAAGATCTAACAACCTTACTGGTAAGAAAGTGGAAGGGAGGGGGGGAATATTTATCTCGGCCATGTCGGGAGGGAAAATGATTACTTATAACCAGCGTGGCCGTTACATTTACATGGTGGACAACTTCCTGACATCATGTTTCCATAGATCAACACGTCGGAGATCCACCACTTTGTATGTCCGTCCTGACAACCCACCAGTGACTTCATAGATTGTAAGCTGGAATCATATATATGCTGATTGAACTGTCTGCCCCTAAGGTAGCTCCCTTATTCACTTCATGTTATTACAATTTTTCTCTTCCATATTATTCATTGATTAAATAAGGAGTCTTACAGTATACTGATCTATAACCGTCTCTTTGTCTCCTAGATTGCTGATTGAGCGGCGTAGGTAAAAGTGGAAAAAGAAAAGGTCATAGCCATTTCTGAATTATTTTGTTATCTCTTAGACCAGTACTCTGGTTTCTTGGCCCAGGTTGGTTTCTTTTTCTTTTTCTCTCCTTTTCCCCCCTCCTTTGGGGCGGCTTTTCTTTGGTCACCAACAAAGGTGTTGAGTTTGAAGCCAAACAGTGACGTTTAGTGCTGCTCTTGACTCATCCGCCCACCGGCAGCTCCGCTCCTAATTTTTTTTCAACCGTCGACGCCCCTCACCCTCGAACTTCTCTCCAATTCTAAACAGGAGATTGGTTGATTCAAAGAATCATTTACATCTGTCTTGGACTTCAACCTGTACCCTGAGGGTGAAGACCCGGACTTACCACAACTGTTCCCGATCGCGATAACTCCAACCTATTGCTCGAAAATTGGCTGCATCCCCTGCGCCACTGGCGGGGATGTCTCAACAACACACCAATATTGCACGCTCAGCGATCATGACAAGCGCGTCAACGCCTGATTCTCCGAAAACCCGTGTACCAGATAGTCCCGACGGAGTCTCGTTAAATGGAAGTTCTAGGCCCGGAATCGGGAAAGATGCGACTCTTATGCCTCCGGCAAAGACGCTGGTCGGAAGAGCGCTAGGAAATGACCTGCATTCCGATGCCCACAGAGGCTCACAGGCATCCAAGGATGGTGTCGGGTTCGCCCTAACTGACACTCCGGTTTCTACCGCACCTTCGTCTCCACAATTGTATGTTCCCTTTGTCTTTTTCGCTCGCTCGTTGGTTGTCTATTATTGTCTAGCCTTTGAGTCACAAACGCGGGGCATTTTAGATTGCCCTTAGATTTCCCTCACTTTTGATCGGCAGCTGTTCCTCCGGGCCATATCGGCCAGGCGGTTCACGTCGAATGTCGCTGTGTATGTCGATCTTGTGTGTCTGTTTCAGTGCTTCTTGTTGTTTGATGCCTTACTAGTCTTTTGGTTTTTTAAGATTTGGTGTTCCTTCGGCTTGAGTATCTTGAGACTAATGTCCTCGTCAGCAATGCTAACACACCAACTACGACCGCCTCCACACCTGGTCGGGTTCGTGCCACCACACTTGATATTCCAGGTCTCACCAAATCCAAGGTGTCGCCTGATGGCCGGATTGCTCAACGCGATGTTGGGTCCAAGCTAGTCATTGTTATGGTCGGCCTCCCAGCGCGAGGGAAAAGCTACGTGACCAAGAAGTTGGCTCGCTACTTAAACTGGCTACAGCATGACACCGAGATTTTCAACGTAGGAGAACGTCGTCGCGTTGCAGCTGGCAAGTCGTCCTCACCTCCTGGAAGGCATAGGAACCATAGAACAAGTTCGATCCAGAAAGATCTTGTCGACTCGGTACGACGTTTGAGCGTCAGCGTTGGTGCGGTGAACCATCTCCGGAAGACTACGGTCCCTTCCGAGGTCATATTATCACCTCCTGAGGTCCATGAGCCTACAGCTTCCCCTCCCGAACTCGAAAACTCACTTCCGCCGCCCGTTGTCCCCACAAAGATCCTCGTTAACGGTAAGGAGGAAGATCCATCTCTGGGGCAAAATGGAATCACTATTGTGCCACCATTCAATGCGTCACCAGAAGACAAATTCTCTATGCAAGAAGCGTCCCCTGAGCCGCTTGACCAGTCTGCAAGCTTTTTCGACCCCAAAAATCAGCTGGCCGTGAAGCTTAGAGAGCAGGTAGCCCTGGACACCTTAGACGAATTGTTGGACTATATCCTCGACAGAGGTGGCAGTGTTGGCATCCTTGACGCAACTAACAGTACGATGGAGCGCCGCAAAGCAGTTGTAGATCATATTCGCAAGCGTGCTGGTCCTGAGCTCGGTATCTTATTCCTCGAGAGCAGCTGTGTTGATCCAGAGCTGCTGGAGGCCAACATGCGCTTGAAATTGTCAGGTCCGGACTATAAGGGCCAGGACCCAGTGAAAGCATTGGAGGATTTCAAGAAACGTGTTCAACTATACGAGAAATCCTACGTGCCTCTTGGTGAATACGAAGAAAAGCATAATATGGCTTATATCCGAATGATCGACGTGGGTCGCAAGGTTGTGTCGCATCAGACTCACGGTTTTCTCTCATCCCAAGTTGTCTACTACCTGTTGAACTTCAACCTTTCACCGCGGCAAATATGGATTACCAGGCACGGCGAGAGTAAGGACAACCAGGCAGGCCGAATCGGCGGTGACTCAGAACTCAGTGAGAACGGCTATCGCTATGGCAAAGCACTTGCTCGGTTCATCGATCACCAACGAAATGAGTGGGAAATGAACCAGAGACAGAAAGAGATAATGCAGAAGTTTCCGCCCCGTCCGGGTGATAGCACTCCGCCCAACCCTTCGTACATTCCCAGTGACCGGCCACGCAATTTCTGTGTTTGGTCCTCCATGATGCAGCGTGCGGTTTCGACGGTCGAGTGTTTCAACGAGGATGAATATGATGTCAAGCAAATGAAGATGCTCGACGAGCTTCATGCGGGAAAGATGGAGGGCATGACATATGATGAAATTCGCGAAGCGTTTCCCGACGAATACGCAACTCGCAAACGCGACAAGCTGTACTACAGGTATCCAGGACCCGGAGGGGAAGGGTACCTAGATGTTATCAACCGACTTAGAGCAGTGATTGTCGAGGTGGAGCGAATGACCGATCATGTTTTGTTGGTCACTCACCGAGCCGTAGCACGCGTCCTTCTAGCCTACTTCAAGGGCCTGAAATGCGACGAGGTGACGGACCTAGATGTGCCTTTGGGGATGTTGTATATGCTTGAGCCCAAGCCATACGGGGTTGAGTTCAAAGCATACCGCTACAATCCCAATACCGACTGGTTCGATTATATTCCCAATTTTGAACTACGCCAAGCCAGCGCCAATTAATCGTACGATGACTTCCGTTATGGATAGAGACGAGATGTGCTCTCCATCTTTAGAAGCTTGCACCGATCCCCGCCGTGTCCTGGCATTGTTATGACTTGCTTATGAAATGAATATTTGACTTTGGCTATGACTATGGTGTTACAGTTCGCTGGCCGTCATTGTGCGCTTTGTGAAATTCTTAATCAGGTGACATTCGCTGCTGGTGTTATGGTTACTCTGGCGTTGATACGTGCAGCCTGTTATGTACCCAACATATGTAATGTTAGGTAGGAAAGAATTGTTTCCTCTTTCTGTTTATCTTCTGGTTGTCTTTGTTGTACTTCGCTCCGAGGAGTGTATCCACTATGGCTGGATCCCTTACTCGTTTTCTTGTGGCTTCTGGTGATTTCATCTGCTTGCATGGCATGGCGTTGGCGTTGAGGTCAAGTTATTTCCCACGGAGTGTTTATGCAGAACACGGATCCTGGGTGACTTTAGAAAGATGTAATGACAGAGAGCGGTACCATGGTCTACCGGCCCTCTACGCCCGTGTCTGCTTCTAGTTCCGTTTGGCACACGATTCCTAGATGGTATGCAATCAATGGCTTTCTCATGAATCGGGCATGACTGAACAATAATCTTTATCCATTGCACTTCCCCAACTATCCCCTGGTCCTCTTAGCCTAAGAGTTCTGCTTCACCTGCTCAAAAGCCTGCAAAAATGCCGAGGGATCCTCGGCCCCCCCAATGGCATACTGCCCTTGGATCGTGTAATAGGGCACACCAGAAACCAATTGCCTCTGGGCCCGAGCTGCCTCCAAATCTACCTGCTGCCCTCCCTCGTCGGATGCCAAAAGTCTCTCTACTTCACCGCGATCTAGTCCGGCCAACACCGCAGCCTCCAAGAGTATATTCTGGTCTGTGATATTCCCCTCTTCCTCGAAGTATGCCTTGAAAAGATTCTCGACAACCCTTGTTTGCAAGCCACCGACTACACCCGGTTCAGTGGCCGCCGGAGCGCCAGCTTCCCTCTCCTTTTTCCCAGCATACCAAATCACCCGATGCGAATCCCGTGTATTCCCCATCCTGCCGGAGAATTTGAAAGCTATCCCTTCTTGTCGTCCAACCTCGCCGAGTTTGCTAGAGATCTGAGAGAACCTATCTTCACCGAACCGGCTGATATAGTACTCTCTCTTGTCTCTGCCCGGGTAAGGCGGGCTGTCGGGTCCCAGGTAGTAGGCATGCCAGGTGAGGGTGAATGTATCAGCGGGATGAGCAGATTTATGGGTTGCGATGGCGCGGGAAAGACGGCGCAAGCCTACGTAGCACCACTAAGTGGTAGGTTAGATATACGTCGCGTATGAAGAAACAAATGAAGAGAAGGGGGTCGTACTGGACAAACGCTGTCCGAGATGATCTGGATGTTAAAGTTCGTCATGGTAGTGGTAGTAGTAGTAGTATATTCAAATGGCCCAGTTTATGATAGACCATAAATCAGATCAAAGAAATGTCGTAGGGGTTTTCTACGATATGAGTATGAAAGAAACATAAATATATACATACCTACCACCATCATAGTTAACTAGTGATCTATCTTAGTTTAATAATCAGATCTGATTTGTCAGCAAGTAGAAATCGCTGAGCGAAGGTTGCTGCTTTACAAAGACTTGTGTTTACACAGAGTCACAATTGTTCTGGATGTCCACTTATAAACCATGACTCAGGCATCAATAGGTCAAACAATAAACTGTATACTGTGTAGATTACTACTAAGTAGTATTAAGTACCAGTATGCAGCAGCACGTCGTGATCTGTTTTCCACCGCTGATGTCATCTTGCATCTACCGAATGACATCATGAAACGGGAATCCGGGGAAGTCAAGCAAGCCAAAAAGAGGATCGAACCATGAAATCCGCCCGATCGATTTCCACTGCTGATTCTGCTCGTTAGTCACGGATCAGGAAATAGGTAAGCACATCAACTGACTTGGGTCATAAGGAAATGGGAGTATAATTGTTACTATCACTTGTTGTTCTTTTCTACTCCCTTGCCTGTAAATTGATTCCAATGCAATCAACATCCGCAGAGCTATAAGCATCGAACTGTGCCAAGTCTCAATGAGCACAAACCCCCTTCTTTGCTGTCATGATTCAGCTTGGTTTTTTCTTCATGTCTTCATTCTCAACATTCCCGCCAATCGACTCGTTCTCTTCCCGGCGTTGGCGGGATCTGTCTGGTTTCTAACTCTGGCGTCCCTACTGTCAATATGGCTCGCCCATGGCATGCCTCAATACCCGGGACAGAGTAACCAGCATGTTGCGTTCGTAGCTTCCTGCTTCCGCCTCTTAGACCTTCGTATAGCGTATTAACGCGGAGATAGCTTCATCTCCGACATAGCGTCTTTCGAGCTGAAGCCACTTTTTCTCGTTGGCGCTTCTGTTACAGCCGTGGGTTTCGTGACCACCGTTGCTGCGGTTCATGTGGTGCGCTATGAGCCGGGGTTCGCCTTGGTAAAATGTCCTGTAACCGACAACCGTAATGACAATGGCGACCATGATCTTCCTGGGAATAGCAGTTCGTATCTTAGTGGCTGTGACTATCAGGATTCCGACAGCGAGGAGGAAGAGGACCATGAAACTACGAGAACCCTAAAGCTTATCTCGCTGCTAGCCATCTTCGCGGCCGGCGTGGCTAGTATCGCCCTGATTTTACTGGCGGTCATGGATACCTTTCGGTATAAGAGCGCACATCACCTCTTCCTCCAGGTCTGTTTCGCCGGTCTGGCGATACAATCTGCCTGTACGGCCATCGTATATTCGAACGAGGTACTCGGATTTGTGTCGTACGTCTACCACCTCGGTGTATGGCAACACGATTGGGGGAGGAGAAGTTTACGAGTTCGAGTCTTGTACGTGTACTTTGTTCCTGTCTCTTTAACTTGGCCCCTTCGTTTGCTGCTACTTGTCGCATCTCTCACTCTCATCTTCCGTTCTCATAAGCATAAGCAGGACTGATTCCCGGAATTAGTGCCTCCCTCTCAACAGCCTTGATCCTTACAGAAGTCTTCCTCGGAGTGGCCTTTATCTCTCTGACTGTACCGGAGGAAAGCGCAAGCTATCGAAAGGCAGGGATCCTTGAATGGATTATTGCCTTCCTAGGGACTATCTATCTTTGGTTATTTTGTGGGTTCCTCGACCGGTATGTGCTGCCACCGTGGACTTTATTCTACGCCACTCGATCATTGACCATTGAGTCAGAACCAATTTCGACGGCTACGTCCCAAGCGTGCTTTACGGTTCCCCTGTACAAAGAAAAGACATCCTACCACCTGACAGTTTACGGGGTCAGATACAGAATCGGGACCCTGAGCGCACCCACCTAATTCAGGGACCTACAGGTGGGAAATATACGTGAACATAGGTCTCCTGCTTCCCCATATTTGAACAGCATTCTTCAGAAAGACATGCCTGGGCACATAATGACCTACATGAATTTCTAGACAATTCCAACTTTCTAACTACGAGAGGAACTTGGCTATTTCAAGACATTGGATTTGGGGGAAAGAAACATAACTAACATACACCTGGAAAAAAAAGTAAGACGATATGAGTGTACGTAGACTTCCATGTGACGTCGTCCAGTTGGTAATACAGTTTCGTAGCTTAAAGGTACTGAACGGTCAGTGAGATTTCTGACTATTCCATCTTGCTGGTCTTTTTGTTGCCCATAACACCTTCGAATAGCATCACTAGTCATTCATTCATCCTTGAACTTTTTGTTGTTAGAATACTCCACAACAACGGGCGTGGTGCAGATCAAATATACAAAAACTTCTGTTCTTGTTAAGACTTGAGTAGCCAGGCTGCCGCTATCTGTACCGAAAATTGTCCTTTGCTTGGTTTTTTTCTTTTTCTTTTGTTGATTGATGACAGGCTGATTATTGGGATTTCTTCAGCCATAATAGTAGGTTTCAGAGTGCATATCCACCTTGATTGACCAAAGAAGGCATATCAGTGTGAGAAGGCTGCTCCTGTCTGAGCTTCTCTAGGGTGGAGGAATACTGAACCACGAGTTAGCTTTTAGTCTAAATGAAATGGCCATTCACGGGTTCCGCCTACCTTGAAAGCAAAGTTCAAAACAAGGGCTATAGCCAATCCGATACACACAACTATCGGTCCAAAAGTATTGTCCAGATCTCGCCCGCTTCGTTGGCGGATAAGTCGAGAGCGCTTCTCATACATGTACCACCCCCAGGCAGCGGAAAAGATTGCAAAGCACGTATAGACAATAGCGAGGGCGCGAGCTATGTCATTGGTTTTACCCGCAGCGTTATAAAGACCCAGGGAGAGCGATGAAAGAAGGATGCTGACGTGAAGCCATTTTATGAAGGTCCGTTGGTTGGCAAGCCACACTTTGCTTTCAACCTTGACGGGCCCAGAATCCTTGATCCATGTACCTGGCTCCCGTACACCCGGTGGCAAAGCAACAGAAGCCTGCTGCGCGCGATTTGCACGTGAAAAAGAAAATGTTGGGAACAAGGCAGCCAGACGGGACAGGGTCACAGGCCGGTCCTCTTGCTCCAGTGATTCAGGTACTTCATAAGAGACGCCCTCTGGGGCAGATGGCCTGGGGGACGGTGCTACCTGTGGAGATGGCCTGGGATGTGAGGAACTTTCGACGTCCGGTAACCTAGAGATGGGGGATCCCACCAAGGGCTTTACAGACGGGCTCGCCCTGTTGCCAAGGAAGCTTCCAACTGCCATGTCATCTTCCGCCCGTTTTGCAATTCTTTCTCGCTCTTGCTGGAACGCAGTTTCAGGGTCCCGGCGGATGTCATTTTCCATCTCACCAAGCCAGAAAGGAAAGCTGTTGACATAGTCTTCAAAAAGCTGTGCGACGCCGTGGACAAATTTAGAAAACCGCGGAGCCTCCTTCACAAGGTGTGAAACCATCAGGTCATTGACCCATTCGGCCTTATGTGCAGACTCCCCCCTCAACTTAATCTCCAGCAAACCATATGGGAACCGCGCGATTTCACCTGTTCGCACGGTACTGAAGGGATATCCCATACCGATATCGTCGATATCAGTACGGTGCCATTCATTCGGGTCACGGCAGGGTCGCTCTTCATCCAAAGAGTCCTCCCGAATTAGTGCTAAATTCGTGTCGAGAGAGATGCGGATCCGATCATCGCCAGGAATTTGGAAAGCCGTGCGAGTATAGTTGGCTCGCAGCATGGGTTGCACCTGGTGCTCCTTTATGAACGATTGCAACTCATCCACGTCTCTCTTGAGAGATTCTGCCTGCTCCGACTCTCCATTACCCATGTCCGTCAGCCGGTGGAGCTTCTTGTCAAATCGATACTCGCCGTCGAGAAATTCTTTTACGTGCTTCTGCTTCAGCTGCACCTTCACCTCTTTACTGCGATCATCATCGGTCACGACCTTCTTTTCCAGGTAAATGGCAGGTTTATCTTTCAGATTTCCAGTCCATCTAATCCTCAAAGAGCTAGCCTCTGGTGCACGTGCGACCTTTTGAGTATAAAGATCGAATTGTGGGGTGTCAAAGTATAGGGAGGTGATTGTAGGGTCGTCTGGAAGTGTCTCCAATTCCTTAGAAGTGCCAGGGTTATAGATGAGGACCGGTAGTCGTCGAAGGATGTAAGTTTTCACTTCTAAAATGTTATCGGAATGTACCCAGAACTTTAATGACGAATATGAGTCTTGGCCGAACCGAGGCGCCTCCACATCCCTGGGCTCAACAACACCCTGACTCGATATTTCACGAACAAAGGAATACATCACTGACAACCTGCGGACGAGGGGCGAATAATCCTCCGAGTTAAATGGCAACTGCGATAGCCGGACTTGAAGCAGAGGCTTGACACGATACCGTGCCCCTCGTTTTCTATCATGCTTCTTTGCAGCTTTGAGGAAACCAGTGAAGTTGATGCGACTGTACTTCTCGAGCTCGCTCACTTCTTTGGTGATACCATCTAATTCCTGAAGGACTTCGGAAGCGATAGTCTTTCTCTCATTTTCGTTGAGTACAGTAGGTGCCTCGTTTTCGTCAGAGGGTGCCAGTGGCCGCAGCTTGGTTTCACAGGCAGAAGTACGTTCCCTCAACTGTTGAGAAGTTTCCACTTGAAAAGCGTTGACTTTGTCCACTTGAACGTTGATCAATTCCTGGACAAAAGCTTCCTCATCCTGTTCCGTCCATTGAGTGTCCGAGTCACTGCCATCTCCGGTGACATCATGCTCCCTCAAGAGGACCTTGAGCTTGTGGTAATCGATGTACTTCCCACTCCATGGGGGATAAATTGAATTCTTAAGGGTTTTACCAAAGCGCATGGTGGTCAAGACACAGCTTTGCAGCGTTTTGTGGATGCGAGTATGGTGGGGGAGAGCACTCGGTAATGAAGTTCGAAGGGATAGAGAAGGTGTCCGATTGAATAGATAAGATGACAACAACTGAGAAAATGAGAGATAGGATGGATCACTGCTCACTCACTCCATCCGAAGCTGTGGCAAAGAATGAGAAAAAAATTTCAGTGGACCAAAATTCCCTGCAGTTATAGTGTCATGTAGGTGTTAGTCCGACTAGTACCTCTCCTACCCCCCGGGGCATACTAGTCCATATGGTCCATACTATCGCAATGGCGTCTGGACGCACGTGCAAAGCTTTCCTTCCATTTTGGGTAAGGTGTCACACTCATCAATCGACCAGTCACAGCGATGGAAGACGTTTGGACCCGCTGGGTGGTAACCGTGTACGGAGCATGTAACGTAAATACGCCACGGCATGTTTTATTATTCTGATACCTCACAATACCGATACTGATAGACCCGAGGTGCCGATAAGGATATCCCGACAACAATTCTGGCCTCCTCCCTACTAACTAGTATACTGGCCCCAACGACTTTGCCAATACCCTCAATTGCTAATTTAACCCTTGTGTTTCCATTACCTATTAGCTGAGATATCATTGCTTAGTTGGTAAAGGTGGCCTCATATACCTGGATGTTTGATCTCGATGGAGACCCCGAAGTCCGAGTTGTTGGAAGCAGTTCCGCTCTCCAGTTCCCTTCATGATGTACTGCTGTACCTCCACGACCATCCGTATCCTCATGTTCCCAATCCGCCATCATGCAAGAAACGTGCCTCCGTGGCCCTCGTCCTTCGAGTTCGACCTACGTATAACCACTGGCCCGATTCGCAGCACTCGTCTCCCTCTCCACAAGAGAACAACACTTTGTCAGTCAAGCAACGCTTGAATACTTTTTTCTCTCAGGACTGGGTTCAGAAAGGTGATGCCGAGGCTCTCTTCATTAAGCGAGCATCCCGTGTGGGAGATCGCTGGACTGGTCATGTTGCTCTACCAGGAGGAAAGCGAGATCCAGAAGATGCGGACGACAAAGCTGCTGCTATTAGGGAAGCATCAGAGGAAGTAGGACTCGACTTAACGGCGGATGAGTGTATATATGTTGGCAATTTACCAGAGCGTGTTGTATCTACTGGTTGGACTTCCGTTCCGTACGTTTTTTCTTCTGTAGTTTTTCTCAGCTCAGCTAACGATGGTGTTGATCCAAGCTTGATGGTTCTCTGCCCTTATGTTTTCCTTCTAACATGCAGTGATTCCCCGACCCTCCGACTACAGCCAACTGAGGTTGCATCAACCCACTGGGTTCCTCTCAGGGCTCTCCTTTCTCCTTCGCAGCGTACGGTGGAGTATGTCGATATTTCGCAGCGCTATGCGAAGACATCTGGATTCATTACCCGTCTCACTTCTCGCTACATCTTGGGCCTCATGGAATTTTCTGCTGTCCGGCTAAGACCAACTGAAAGCCTTCAGTGCGATCCATCGCTTGAAGTTGCCGCTAAAGATAGCCGAGGATCATCTATAATGCAACGATTAAGGACGTGGTTCTTCGGCGACCGAGCTGATCCTGAGGACCAAACTCAGCCCCTTCTTCTATGGGGGTTGACACTTGGTATCCTAGCTGACTTTTTAGACATGCTCCCGCCTCACACAGCTGTGCAGCTGTGGGAGTACCCTACTTTTACCTCCCCCGATCTACGATTAATTACCAGCATCCTAACTTATCGCCTACGGAAGCGCAACAAGCTCCGGGCCAAGTCTGGATCGCAATCCAGCAACACCGCGGTGGGCAGCCAAACATCCGCTGAGACTGTAACCGGCGATAACGATGCTGCGGACGCGAACTGCTTTCCTAATGAAGTTGGCATCGAGGGTCTAGGAGTTGGGTACTATGGGTCGTCTAGGACCAGAGAGTTGGAGCGGGATACACATGCCGTTGGTATCATGCTTAAAGGCTATTATGCCAAACTCAGAGTTGCTATCCAGGTTCTCTTGGCGTGGCGAGCGCCATAGGTTCCTTAGCTGCGATTTACGCATGGAAACTATTCCGACGGCGAAAATGATTGTATATTGCTAATTGTTATTGTATAGACATAATAATGAATCTATATATGATCTCAACTATGTAATTGAAGTTGAGTCCATGCTCTACTGTGGTACTTTAGGTACAGTACGGAACGACTGACGTGTTATGTGCACTGTAAATTACATGGGTATATGGTTTCAAAACCATGCAATATATTGGTAAAACATGTTACATAAACACGCCAAGCCGAAGCTTATCAAAGGTTTGCTATGGTGATCCACCAACATCAACAGACCATCGTCTTCATTGCCGCCTGTTTCATCTAAGTATACTCCGTACTTAGTCTCTCTTCGACATTACCGGTGACGATGGCCGCCACGCAAAAGCTTTATCCGCGCGGAACGGTGAAGCGTATTGTTAAAGCTCAGTCGAATCGCAACCTGAGCAAGAATGCTGATATACTGGTAAGTGCTCTGAAAAGCCAGAAAAGCGGCAGTGATAGTTAGTAACTTGCTGCTTTTACTATATCATAGATCTTCTTGGACTATATGCTTTTCATGCAAGAGTGAGTGATTATTGTTCTTTACTAGTCCTCTTGCTATGTACGGGCCACAAGTTGAAAGATAATGGGCAATTACTGGCAAGAATCCGATTATGGATTTGATGCTGAAGGATCCTTTTTAGGTTGGTACGCGAAGCATCAATTCGTTCGCGCAAAGCTGGTGACAAAAACATTGGCCCAAATTCCATCCAAAAGGTGACCGAGGTATGTTCCTGACCTGTTCCTGTGTTTGTGGTTTTTGTAGCTCTTTTTACTCACTATCATGCTCTTCCTCTAGAGGACACTACGAAAGTTCAAGGGTTGATCATAAAATGTCATTTTATGCACTGTACATATCCCTGAACTCCCTCACGGAGAACAATGGGAGGCAGAGTCTACATGATACCAGGGCTGTGGTTCTATCGCTTAGCGTTGAGCATGGGAATAGGTACTACTATGGCGTTTAGTTTGCCCTTCCCCCTGTTTTGTTATATCAAGTTCGGACAAGAATGAGGGATGTGGAGGCGTTACTTAGGAGTTTATACTATGATACCCCAATGTATTTGTTCTATGACTACCTATTCCAATTCATGTCAGGCACCTACGCTTCTTCCTGGTTCAATCGGCTTTAGAGAGAAGTAATCCCTAAAAAGATGCACATGCAGCCCTAAGGCTGCAGCCATTGACTCGGTAGCTGCGTGCCTACTGGCTGAGCGATGCTTTGTTGAGCTGCACGCGACAGAAGCGGCCTGAGGTTCGGAAGAGTTCCACCCGCATCTTTCGCACCGCCAGCTTTCTTTTTCGTCTTCGAACACCTTTGCTCTCTAGCTCTTCGTCCAACACGTCTTTAATTCATCCTTTATCCTTCTTATATTGAAATTTTCGAAATCTCTCTTCTATTTTCTTATATCAAATCTCTGTAATCGTCAACATCATTTCTATTGCGTCTACTCTCTTCTAGGGAAAACCACCAGAGACGTCATCTTTCAGCACCATGGCTGCCACTTCTGTCAATAACAGCAACCCTCAGGCACAGCCCGAGTCACCCTCGGAGAAGCTCAAGCAAAACCATATTTCTACTCCTTCGGTTAGTTCGAAATTAGATGGAGCGACCGCCAACGGCGTGGATAGCATTGACAGCCCGTACTTCAAAGAACTGCAAAGGTTTGTCATATTCAAATGAAGACTTGCGCATTCGCACTTTGATATGGAGCTAAGAGTACGCTTATAGGAACTTGCGCAATACTGTGAAGAAGCTGGTCAGTGACCAAGCCCCATACTACCCTCATGTGTCCCTTACCGCTCACGTTGCCTTGTACAGAATGCGACCGCTAAAGTCGATGCCATCATTGCCGAGAATTCCGGAAAATCCCTCGATGACCTGGTTGCCGAGAAGAAGATCAATGCCGACCAAAAGGCGCAGGCATTGAAGAAGCCTGGTCTGCAAGCCACTATCGCTCAGATTGAAGAGCAGATCGCCAACTACAAGGAGTTTGCTGCCCAGTACGAGCAACGCCTGGCCACCCAGCAGGCCGAGTTAGAGAAGGCGCATAAAGAGGAGTTGGAAGCAATCCAGGAGAAAGCTGTCTCTGAGGCCAATAAAGCGAGTCAGATTGATTTGAGACAGCGTCTGCTTAGCTTGAGCAAATTCCTCTGTGCTGCTGCTACCATGAGACGCTCTGGCGATGAAACCTCCAACCTGACTCGTGCCTTTGAGGGTGTTTTATACCAGGTTTATGGAGGGTCGCACGAGGCCGTCAATTCGATGTTAAAGCTAATTGATGGTGTGGATGAAAAGGTTGTCAGTGTCGAAGGGGAGGCACTGGAGATTACCTGTAAGGCAACTGCCTGCAGCCCCAACGACCCAGTTACTTGTTGCTAACAACTCTGGTCGATTAGATAGCAAAGTGAAACAGACTTCTGAAGAGCACGCGCCTGCAACTGAAGAAGTAACCGCGGATACCGCCCCTGAATCGGATCCTACTTTGGCCAATGCGGGTTACACTGAGCTCCAGGATTCCTCTTATGGCACCGGAAACCCCGCCGTGAACGAGCCCACCAATGCTGTATCCCAGCCCGAGCAGGTCACTCCACCAGCGCAAACGCTCGTTGGCGATGCCGCTAACCCTGTTGCCGAGGCTAGCTGGAATCCCAAGACTGGCGATTCTCTTGTCTCTTCGGCGAATACCGATGGCTGGGTTGAAGTACCACGTGATCCAGCCGAGACTGATACTGGCCTTGAGGCTACTCCTGTAGTTGCTGACAACAATGTGTCTGCAGAAGAGACTACGGATAATAGTGCTGAGAATGTCACTGTGCCTAAATCACAAGGTAGCGACGGTTTCGAAGCGGTTGTGCATCATCAGAGACAACCGAGCTCCCGTGGCCGTGGCCGTGGCGGGCGTGGACGTGACGGGTTTCGGGGACGCGGACGTGGCGATTTCAGGGGTCGTGGTAGAGGTCGTGGCGGCCGCGGACGTGGCGGACCTAATGGCAACACTGTCACACCTCCTACTGGGGCTCAGTAAATGATGCGCTTGAATTGTCAGTGAACCTACCTCCTGGGTCGGGATAAGGCTTTCTACAAGAGTCTTGTCACCAGTTCCCACGCTTTCTGTTTTGCCATACACCAGACTTCTCTGACCCTGCTTCTTGGGTTCCCTGAAAGTCTCTTTTTTTCTCACTGCGGCCATTGTGGCCTTCTGCATTCTCTATCTGTCTTGCTATTCCTATCTAATAGGTTATGGGTAATGGTGGTGTTACGGGTCACGAAAGCGACGAATCTTCTGAAATGCTTACAACAAGGGGTCGGAGGGCTGAGGGAAGAGACATTGGCTAATGTCTCTACAAGCCTCCTTGGCTCTAAGTCTCTTCTTTTGGAAGATCATCTCCAAAAGTCAGTTCCTGGTTGTACATGTCTTGCATCTTTGAGCGTGCATGGTATATTGCTCTTTAATCTCTTCTCTTCCCCCCCTTCCTTCTCGTGGATAGTGCGGCTCTCATAGCAGCACTTTTAGCTAACCAACACTCTTCTTATGTATTTTATTTTCTAATTTTGTTGGCGCATGGGGATGATGGCTGGACCGTTGGACGTAGTAGTGATTGGACGGAGACTGGCTGTTGACAGCTCGAGAGAGTTTGTGAGCGGAAGTGTGGCTGGACATAGGTTTTTGTATGGTAAAATTGCAGTTAGTCAATGGGACCAGCAGCAGATATCACTGTACAAGTTGTCTGGATCATTACAAGTAATTCTATACTTTGTACTTGGCCGAATCATGCAGCCTGGTTATGTAGTTAACTACCTAGTACATACCTAGTTCCCTAGTGAGCTAACTAGTTAGCCACTGGCAGTTAAGTTGCTGATTACATAAGTCAAGGGAAGGGCATTGAGTGAACTAACTAATTATCAGATCATCGGTTTTGAACCATCTTCCCCTAGCTTTTCTGCGATCAAGAAACTTCATGTTAGACTAGACTGGACTCTTCTTCTTTTTCTTCTTTCTCTTCCTCTTCCTCCTCCTCCTCCTCTCGTTCTTTCTTTTCATTCTTTCCCTTTTCTATCGTTTATTCACATCCATCAATCGTTATGGCGCTAGCCGCTGATCAGCGGAAGAAGATCCTCAAGGTCTTGATGACATCTTTGCTTCTAGATTTGGTACCTGGCCCTCAATTCGCATCTACCTGACTGCGCTATTTCTAACCATTCTCTCTCAGATATCCTTCACTTTCATTCTGCCGCTATTTCCTTCCTTGTTGACGTTCTACCGCAACGAAGACCCTTCCCCTCTGTCTCTCTTGAATAGGATATTTCACTACCTGAACGCTTACAAGAACGCCTTTGCCATACCAATTGACTCCCGCTATGACATCGTCCTTCTAGGAGGCGCTCTGGGCTCGCTTTTCTCTTTCCTCCAGGCTCTTGCCGCCCCATTCATCGGGCGTCTCTCCGACAAATATGGCCGCAGGACGGCGCTTCTATGCTCTATGGCGGGAAATACCCTTAGCGTCGCGCTCTGGATAGCTGCCACAGACTTTCGCACCTTTGTTGCTAGTCGCATTGTTGGCGGACTTAGTGAAGGCAATGTGCAGCTGGCTAATGCTATAGCCACTGATATCAGCGATGCCAGCCAGAGGGGCTCGACCATGGCTCTGGTGGGCGCTTGCTTTAGCATTGCATTTACTTGCGGCCCAGTGTTGGGAGCGGCACTGTCCAACATTACGACCGTAGCTGCAAATCCGTTTGCAACAGCTGCGGGAGTGTCACTTCTTCTAATCGTCGCTGAGACGCTCTATCTGTACCTCTGCCTTCCGGAGACGCACCCCCGTCTTACCAAGCTCACCCAAGCTACGCCCCAG